TAGACTAGTGATCTGTCCATCAATAACCCCTACAGGTACAGAAACGCCAACGCGAACACATATACCTCGGTGCCGAGGGACTAGCATGATTTATGACCCATGTACCCAAACTGCCGAGGAATACATGTCGGTCCACGGTAGTTTGGGGATCATTGATCCCTGTGAATAGCATTCTCGGAGCAGAAGATTTGAAAACCGACGAAGACGTGTCAGTATTAGAGCAAGTGTCTCTATTGACGCCGAGTACACGCGTCATTATCTGAGAGTGTCTCCCATCAATTAGAATCCTCAAGTGACTGATCATAAAAGTTTATATAGCTGATCCCAATAGCTGAGATATTAATGGGGTTAAGTTTAGTTGAGATAAGTTGGTACTAAAAATAATGTGGTAAGATCTGTTCTGCTTCAACCAAACAAAAAAATTCCAGGTCTGAAATCTCCATTCAATAAAGGTCCAAGATTCAAAAAAAATTGTGGGGTTTTCCTATGCCATTGTTGAATCGATTAAAGTTAGCTTGTATACGAGAACATAATTAAAAAAAATAAGGGTAGACTTCAAATTTTTAACGGCCACCGTTTCTCTTGTGTTTTTTTTATTATGGTTTGTTCTAATACTCTTTCTGGATGGGACTCCGGAGTGTTAGTTTATTGTTATTTAGACTTATTCTGAGATTTAATTCTATTCGAGGATCATTCAATTAAAAATGACCTTCAGTTAATATCATTAAATTAGGTCTCTCTCTCGTTAGTTGCTGAAGTTTTGTGTAGCCAAGATCCCAGATCTGATAAAAATCAACGGTTGAGGAATGCTCCACGTTTCCATGCCAGCTGGATCACCAACGTTCTCCATGCATATTGGTCCATATGGTCACTTTCGAACCAAATTAAACCGCCACCGCCATAGTCTCCGACCTTTACAATAGTCAAAAAGCAACGTTACGTGGATTTAAAACAGAAGAAGGAATCCGGATAACTCAATTATAGGGGCGATGTCTAAATCGAGATGTTTGGACAATTTTTTGAAATTAAATTATGAAAAAAAAAATTTATGAATATTTTATTATTGATATAGATGACCTATCTTTAATTGGATCAATAAAGAGATTAATCGAAGTGTGCGTAAATTAGACACACCTGACCATTAAACTAAATTTATATTTATACTACTAATAAAAGTACACTATTAAGCAAATTTTTGTATTAACTACTTTAACCCTAAAATAATATATAAAGATAATACTAGCCTTATTTAATTTAAACCTCATATTAATAATAGTTGATTGATGTTAAACTTTTAATTGAATAACTTTACTTTCACAATACTAACATTATTAATATAGAATTCATATTAATAAAATTGCATTAATATTATACATATCTAAGTCTTTTATATTCTTTCTTTTAAAAGATAAAAATTAATTATTAAAATAATTAAATTTACTTTTATTTATGTCTATCTATTTTCACTAGTTGATGACAGATTTCTGAATTTTCAAATGAAATTACATAAATACACTAGAGTTTTATTTAGAATAAGATTTATTTTAATATAATTTGGATAATATTATCATATCCTAAATTTTCATTTTCTTCACTTTTTATGTTGCAGTTTTAATAAATCCTCTTTAGTTATGTTTATTGGAAATACTATAAACTATTTTATTTGTATCAATTAGCAGTGCTACAAATATGTTCAGTCTCATATTAAATTACTTATCACAACTTAACTTTTTAAATTTCTTCAACTAATTGTTTATAATTAAATGACCAGCATCTTAAAATAGTTTACTTTCCGTATTTTTTATGATTTAATAAGTGTTTACAATATTTTTTAGTTTTATATACCCACATACTATAAAATATATTTGTACCATTACTATGATGTTGCAAATAAAATTAATCTAAATAATTAACTTCATGTAAAAAGTTTTAAAATTTAAGGGCAGAGGTTTACAAGAAAATAATTCATCAAAACTTAAGAGAAAATAAAACAATAAAAATTAAATATTCGTTATGGAAACATGTAGTGTTATGTTTATTACAAATTACACAAATTATATAATAGGAATATTCCAAAGATTATATTTCTAAGTAGACATTTGCTATTATATTTATTTAATTATTTTAAAAACAAAATCTTAACTCAAAAAGTCCATATGCAAGACACGTATGCACGAACTAATAAAAATAAAAAGGGCACAAGGTAGTGTTAAATAATTATAAGAAATGGATAAGATGATATGATATCATAATGATATCGTAGTATTTATTTATTTTTCTTTAATATTTAAATATTATTTATTTATCATATTAATTTCTCTTTATTTGGTTTCTTTTGTTATATCATGTTTCGTCAATCTAAGCATTACTTTTATACTAGTCTTAAATAATTGAAGAATTAGAATGATCAAAAGAGAATCACACGCACACACCCCAAAAGAATGCTTTCTGTTTTGAATCTAAGGTACAAATTTACACCAATAAGTGAATTGAAAGTTTGAATTCTCCATATAGATGTTAAATCTGTTTTTTTTTTTTTTAAATCAAAATAAGGCTTGTTGCTTATATTTTCTTTTATTATGATACTAATTATTGTTTGTGTTTGAAGGTACAGAGTAATAAAAAAATTGTCAACAATAAATATATTTGTATTCACATCTAAAATCAAATCACAAATATAGAGGAGAGAAAAAAGAATTTAAGCACCGGTTATAGTGGGAGTGAGCAATGGTAAAGGTAGCGACGATGGTGGTTGCGGGAGGTGCCGACAATGACAATGTTGGTAGTGGTGGTAGTGGTGATGGTTATAAAGGGTGGTGATAAGGCAATAACGGCGGTGGTGAGGCGATAGAGGCAGTGGTGGTAGGGGTGATGGTTGACCAGGGGTGGTGGTGAGGCAATAAGGGTGGTGGTTAGGTGATGGGGGGTAGTGGTGGTAGGGGTGATGGTTGAACAATGACGGTGGTGATAGGGTGGAGGTGACGGTGTGTGGTGATTATAGTGGTGGTGGGGATAGTGGGGGGATAGTGGTGGTGGGGGTAGTAGGGAGTCGTGGTGGTGGCAGTAATAATGACGGTTGTGGTGATAGTAGGGGACAGTGGTGGTAGTGATGGTTGTTGTGGCAGATGTGGGAGTGGGGTGGCGACGATGATGGTAGAATAGTGGTAGTGGTGGTAGGATGGTGGCGGTGGTGGAGGTGGTGGGGTGGCAATGGTGGTGATGATAGGGAGTGATATGGTGACAACAACAACGATAGTAGTAAGAGGCGGAGGGTGGTAGTAGTGGTGATGGTGGTGGTTGGTGACATTGGTGGTGGTTGTAGAGTGGCGACAGTGGAGATAGTAATGGTAGCGGTGATGGTGAGGGGGTAGTTTAGTGGTGGGGTGGTTGCGGCTGTGGTAATGGTAATGGTGGTGGGGGGTGGTGATGGTAATGGTGATAGTGGTGGGGCGATGGGGGTGATGATGGTGGTTTCAAACACTATTTTTTTTTAAAAGTATTTATGAGAAATTATTATCCCAAACACACCTTTATGACCTTATTTTTCCTATTAATTTTAGAGTGTTAATATTAGTCATCGAACTAATTTTAAAGTAAAATTGAAAGAGATCTCAACCGCGAATAGCAACAGTTATTTATTTTTTATTTTTTGAGATTTATTGTACTTTATTATATAGATATACTAGTTATTTTTCGTGCCTAAAGACATAGAATACTAAAAAAAAATTGGTCAACAATAAACATATTTGTATTTCCACATAAAATCAAATTACAAAGATATAAGAGAAATAAATAAATTTAAGCACAGGTTATAGCGAAGACGAGCAAAAGTAGTGATGAGGGAAGATGATGATAGTTATGATAGATGATGACAATCGGTTATAATGGGGGATGATGTGGTAGGGGGATATTGGTGGGATAGTGGCAACGATGATAATGTGGCGGTCACAATGGTGGTGGTGGGGTTACGATAATGGAGGTAATGGGGGTGATGGTGGTGGTTATTGTGGAAGAGGTGATGGTGGGGTGACAGTAGTGGCAGTGACAGTGATAGTGGTAGTGGGGCAATGAGTGTGATAGCATTGCGACAGTTGTTGTGATGGTGGTGGAGGGTGTTGGCGGTAGTGGTAGTGGTAATTGTGGTGTGGCGGTGGGGTTGGTGGTGGTAAAGGTGTTGGTGGGGCGATTTTCAGACACTATTATTTTTTTTAAGTACTTATGAGAAGTTATAAATATTGAAAATACTTTTAAAAAGTCACTCAAACACACCCTTAAGGCCATATTTTTCATATTCAATTTGGAGTGTTAATATTAACTGTCAGATTAACTTTAAAGTAAAATTTAAAGAGATTTCAACCGCGAATAACAAAAATTATTTTGTTTATCTTTTAAGGTTTGAATTCTATTGTACTTTATTATATAAAATTTAAAAAAAAATTGCATTCAAATGATCTTATCTCCAAAAAAATATGATTTTAAGTTTCGAACTTATAATACCTACATTATCGTAATGCAACTTGTCTTTTAGATTTATGTCTTAATACTAAGTCTCAATATTGGTAATACCAACGCGTCACACCCAATAAAATTTTTAAATATTATAATATACAAATTTCAGATTATTCTCGATCAAAAGATTATGTTATTGTCAAGCTTATCTTTTTTAGTAAGAATAAAAAATATGATTAACTGTTTTTTTTTGAATGACTTTTAAGGTAAGACAAAGATTTCAAAATTTAAAAATCAATTATCGAACTTAGATATTGTTTTAAGTTTTTTTAATTATTTGTTATAAGAATAATAAAATAAAAAAAATATTAAATGATTAAATGTTTAAAAGAACAAGCTTCCATGAAGCGAGTGTGGGAGGAGGAGAGAGATATTTAGAGGATCAAAAATATCTAGCTAAGGCGTCCACGTTGGCACCAGGACTGGATTAGAACCCATCTGAAATCAGATCTTTGCACTTTTTCTGACCTTTTCTACTTTTTTCTACTTATTAATTCCCTCTTCGTTGCCCTTTTCAGCCCAAATCCAAAGCCCAAACTGCCCTTCTCTCTCTCTCTCTCTCTCTCCCCCCTTCTCTCCCTCTCGAAGCTTTCCGAAATATCTTCCAACAGTCTTCTCCCTCCCCCACTCTCTCCTCAATTCTCTCTGACTTTTTTCATTAAATTTGAAACCAAAGGCCCTAAAATTGTGTGATTGATCAACTGAAGTTGTTGATATGGGCGAAGAAGTGAGAATCACCGACAATGGAGGCGAGGACGGTGGCGGAGACGAGGACCGAGTGGCAGAGTGGGAGGTGGGTCTTCCTACCGCCGATGATCTAACGCCTTTATCTCAGACGTTGATTCCGCCTCAGCTGGCCTCGGCGTTTAGTATTTCACCGGAGCCCCGCCGGAGCGTGCTCGAAGTCAATCGAGCCTCGCAGAACACTCTGTCTAGAATTCGGGGACAATCTCAAGCTTTATCTTCATCGAACAGCTTCAATTTCAAGTCTTTCGACGAAAACAAAGGCATAGACCCGATGGTTGTGGAAGGAGACGAGACGGATCTGAGTCGAGAAGGTTCGGATTTGAGAAAATTTCGTAAAATCGAAGGCGGTGTAGGGGCAGAAGAAGCCGACTCGGCTTTACGGACGGAGAACTGCACCGATGACCCATCGGCGAGAACTCTAAAGCGACCTCGTTTGGTTTGGACTCCGCAGCTACACAAAAGGTTTGTCGACGTGGTGGCTCATTTAGGAATAAAAACCGCGGTGCCGAAAACGATTATGCAGTTGATGAACGTAGAGGGATTGACTCGCGAGAACGTTGCTAGTCATTTGCAGAAGTATAGGCTATACCTGAAAAGGATGCAGGGGCCGTCGTCATCGGATCATTTGTTGGCGTCCACGCCGGTGCCGCAGAGCTTAAATGAATCCGGTGGGAGTGAGCATGGACAACATAACAGTAATAGCAATGGTAATGGGCATATGGGGATGCCGATTCCGATGCCGTATCCACCGCAGATGATGCCTATGCCTATGCCTCTGCTTGGGATGAGTCATCAAGGTCACGGGCATATGGGAATGCCCATGGCGAATCTGGGTGCGCCTGGGGGTTTCGAGTCGCATCATAATCCGTATAATATGTTGCAGCAGAGGGATTGGTCTGGCAATAATTTTGGGTTTGTTCCGTCGCTTCACCGAGTTACTCATGATGATCAATGATTGTCGGAGATAGGTTGATAGCGAACAGAGAGGTGAGTAATGTACTGGAGGTTTCTTTTGCGATTCTATGTCATTTTATGTCTGCGGGGATAATTTTGCAGATTATTAATGGTTATACAGGGTTGGTACTGGATTCTATGCTTCGGGTTTGTGACTCGGTGAATTACAGCTAGGATTTCTTTAGACAATTCACTCTGTTTGATTGTCAAACGTATAACTAATTTCTATTGCGATCTAGTATATGCTGCTGTATTTTATTTTCCTTGTTGTGAATAAAGGAGCTTACATTTGATGATACAAGACTAATGTTGGACTTATTGCTTCAAAACTATGACTCGGTTGAACAGAACTAGGACCTTCTCTGAAGGAATTACATGTTTTTGTTTGCTTGGTTTAGATCAATAACTAGTTTTGATTGCCAAGTATCACATGAAGCTCATTTTTATTGAATGTCCTGGTTTGACTTGGTTAAAAGATTTGCCTATGATTGCTTAAAGTCAACTGGTAGAGAGAAAGGTTGGCTTCTTATAAAATGTAATGCACCAGGATGTTGTGATGAGGCATAGAATTAAGGGAAACACCTCATTGGGGCTGGGGGAACCGATGGTTTAAGTGTTAGTGATAAAAAATTGCTGAAGTTCAAATTCCTCTTATTGTGACAAACATTCGATTTCTTAGGATAAGGGAGTAAAGGGTTGGATTTGTACATTTCTTCAACTAGGTAGTTGAGCTTTTGATTTCTTAGGGTTGTTAAGCATTAAACTTATGTGTTATCTACCCGACTATTGGTTCGTTACTCAGGTTGTTCCCTGTTAATTGCGGATATTGAGAGGAGTGGATTGGGTACATGTCTAACACTTGCCATTACTGGCCCAAAAATGACTGCCCGTAGATTCGAATTCACAATCACATAATTGTTAACTTAGTCCGACACTTTTGTCATTGCACTATGCAAGACAAATTTGGATCAGATTTCTCATATTTCAGACCTACTATCTGCTCACCACGAATCATCATCCTAAAGGGGTGAATTTTGGTTCACTGACCTGTTACTGCTCTCTTTTACAAGTAAGTGGTTTTCAACATATTGAGTTTCCTTGTAGTTTCTTGTGATATCATAGATCATTAACTGTTATCAAGTGGGCAGTAATTATATTCTGTTGCTTTCTATAACCATCTCTCTTGTATTGACAATAACATGCTTCTGCTGCAGTGTTTCTTCATGCTATCAGATACATGGTTACTTTATTTATATAATTCCAAATTGCCTCTCTTTTTGTTAGACATTCACGGGCTTTGCATGTTTGAACTTGAAGTGGTTATTGTTGCTAATTGTCATTCCATGGAACATTGCATCTATTTCTCCTGTGGAAGTTACTTATTTTTATGCTCATTCTTGTGATTGTAAGAATGGTACCAGCCATAATTTAGGATAGGCTTGGTTTGGCAAAACTAAATTGCCCAATTATGGTTCATATCTAATTATGAGAAATTCTTCATTGGCGCACTAGAGAGAATGGGATGCATCATCTCTAACGAAGGCAAGTATATGAGATGGTGGCATTTCATGAAATGGTATGGCTGATTTTGTACAATCTGTATGGTTATGGCTTCAAATTTCTTGATGGCCACATCTTAAAGATGATCAATTGCTACGTAAACCCACCCAATGGAGCCATGTAAAAATTTGGGGCATCTAGATGTGCCCTCAAGCAATCATATGAAACATGTTTGCATGTATAAAAAGTGAGGATGAAATGTAGATCATGCAGCATATTTGTAGTGACAAAAACTAGCATAGATTTTTTTCATATTGATTTGTCTAACCGTGGGATCTTCTAATTACAAAACGTAATTTTCCTACTTGCTTTTCACTGATTTAGTACTTTATGCTTTTCTCGTTTGAAGTATTGAATCAAAATTCCAATTTGCATATTTTTATGCTTTACCGCTTTACTATGGATTCAGGAGCTTGAGAATTTCTCAAACCTTTTAACTATAGGACTCCACTTCCAATGTGTAGCTTGTTTGATAATTCTGGATCTGCCAGACATGGGAGAAGTTTTAAAGAAATCGTTGGAGACACTTTGATGTGTATATCAGTACGATTTGGGATTAGTTAAGAAAGAGACAAAGATGAAACTTCTTTCTGTTCCAGATTTTTCCGGGGATGCATTCAAGTGGAAGGAAGTTTATGTTGAAAGAATTCAGGCCTGTCAACTGCAAGTTGTTAAGTATATGCCTGACCCGTTCTTTTATTGTTTAAGATTGTGTGTTCTGGTGTAGCAATGACTGAATTGAACCTTTTTTTTAGCAACAAATCTATAGTTCAAAATTGAAGTTAGCAAAAAGGTTGTCAGCAGTTCTTGAATTCTGGTATTTTGTGACGTTATCATTTGTGACCTAAGCATTTAAAATAAACGATTTTTACATTTTGGTTTTATTCATTTCCATCCTCCCTTAAGGTCTGTTCCCCAATTACATAATAGTGGGGCCGTGGGGGTGGTTAGTGAAATATTATCGATAATTTGTATATAGGAAAGCAAGCTGTTAAGTATATATTCCTAACTCGTTTGTTACTCTTTCAGCAACAAAGCAAGTTTTGCATAAGATTGGCAGACACATGAGGATTGGAATGAGAAACTACCATTTCCATAAGGGGGGTATAGAACTTCGGTGAGGACTTCTATAGGGGCTATGCTGTTTTCTTTGGTTGGTGGGTTGGAAGTTGTTCTCCCCAGTGATAGAAGTACGTATCATTTTTAAGGGTTATTTTCGAATGTAAGTAAAGGAATGTGACTGGTGTGAGAATTTAAAAACTATCCCTTGGTTGAAGGTAACGATGAGGATCAGGTTAAAGATTCCAAGTGAGTCCCTGGGAACTTTTTTCAAAGATTGGTACAAAGAACTAGCTTTCATGGATGCAAAAAAAAAAATGTTGAAAGCCTTCTGTTATGATTCATATTCAAGATTATCAAAAGAGTAAACAGTTCTTATAACAAAAACGTTTGCCAAAGACGATACCCGCGGGCGACCCTGTTGTGAAAAAGGTTCATGTTGATACAACGGGCAAATTAAACCAAATTGAATGGGTCCTTAGTCAAAACCATGAACGACCCACTAATCTATTGACCGAGATGACAATGAATACACAGAAACAACGAACCTTGGTCAGCTAAAAAAACTATACTGAAATTTAAGCTGTAAACATTTCTTTGAACCGCAGTGAGGATCGGCATGTTCCTGTCAGAAACACTAACAGGATTCTTTCTCCTCCTCCATAAATGTTCGGCCGCCAAGTAGTACCTGCGATCTGAATGACAACCACTGCTGAATCATTTTTCATTTAAACTGATATACCTATAGCCTATAAATCTTACTGCAGAGTGTAGGGTGTTGATGACCCATCTGAAAACTTTTCTCCATCATAGACGAGGGAATGAGAGAGAAACTGTATCTGCTATCTTGCACTAAGTGTGCCATTGGTAACCCTTCATTGATTCCCTCCAGACTTTTTCCTGGTTCAATTCAGAGTTTCTTTAGTCTTCCATAGTTCCGATCATAAATCCTCCGAGAAGAGTCTTTCTAGTACCATCTTTGCATCACTGTCTTGCTACCACCTTCTCTTCTTTCCTCCTCGTGTATGCTTTGGACAACCATTCATAATATCAGTCCTATATCTTGAATTGGGTTGCTCTACCATTTTCCATAATTTGCAGCGCGTTTTCTTTGCCGTGTAAAATGGTTCCCAGTGATCCGGACCCTTTCTACTAAGAAAGTGGCAGTCAGGCATGTACAGCCAAAACTATCTACGACGATCCTTCAACTCATTACATTTCTTGGGTGCATATAATCTTCCACAACAGATATGTCCGATCCTGCAACTCATTGCATATCTCAAGTGCATATAATCTTCCACAGCTGAAATGTCCAGCCGTTCCAAACATCAACTACAACATCACGTATTTGGGATTGCCGTAAGTTCAAGGTCTGTAATGGTACATTGGAGAATTGAGTGACAGATGACAAGAGATCCAAAGGGATGCAACTGTTAGAATAAATAAAAATAAAAGTTTTAAAAACTACATAACTAATTATATTGTTTTAATTTTTCAGTTTTAAACTTTACTATTGCAATTTAATTCTTGCATGTTCATGTCATTTAATTATAAAATTGATATAAATTTAATAGCTCGGAAGTTACGTACTAATATATTTTAAAACCTATTATTCAAGAATAATTAAGACGGTGCCTATAAAACAAGGTGGTGGTTTTGGATAGAAAAAGGGTAGATATACCATTTTTTTTATATACTCCTCTTCCATCAAGTGTTGTTATTATTTCTACATATTTCTTTTTGTCTATTATTACATTTGCATACCTACAAATATTTGGTATTAGTTTATTTCGGACAACTTCGATTCGAGTTAGGTTCCCCCTTCTTTTTAGTGGGCGTGACCATTGAGGAGGTGCTACTGCGAGCATCTGGGTTTGATCTTGGAGTCGCTGGTGTCCGTCAGTACCTTCATGCAGGGAAGCTCAGCTGCTTTAGGACAGTGTTCACACGACTCTCAGACTCGCAGACCAGCTCTTTCTAATTTGTAGTATCTATTTTATTTCATTTTAAGTTAATTGTTATTTTGTGTTTGTTTATGTGATATTGATATGAATTTATTAATTAAAATTATGTGTAATTATGCTAATTTACCCAACAATCTAAAGCAGCTGAGATATCAGTGTCATCTTTCTTGCTTGCCATCTACAGTACTTGTGGATAGGGATTAAGTGGAAAATGAGAATTGTAAGGTTGGAAAAAAAAAACAAACTAATAATACTGGAAGCATCACATAATACAAGCCCCGATCATTACACTGTTCACTTGTTGAGGATTTGTATGTTGCAAGATGCACATAAATATTTGGGTAAGGTGGGTTGTAAGCGCCAAAGAAAGAAGATAGAATTGAGCTCATTTTTTTTCTTTTTATCGACCGTATTGATCAATAATTGGTTAAAACACACTCCATTCACACTTTGCAAACCAAAGTTGCAAAAATCCACTCAAATGATAAAATTCTCATTCTTGAAATCTTTCTGGGAAATTATAGCAAAGCCAATCAGTAGTCTTCTTCCACTCTGGTACTTCTCCATTTTTATTCATATGTCAAGCAGAGCCATCCAGCTAGCTCATAAATTCTCAGGCCTGTTTCTACATGGCCTAGACTCCTCAACTGCAGCGTCTCATCCACTTGATAACTGCTAAATTCGAGGCAACCTTACCTCCTCTCCTTTCCATGAAGCAGCACATTTATATTGACATCACATGCCGAAGTTATTTTCATATTCTAATAGTATCGTCATAACCCCCCAGTATAACCTTGAATTTTGAGGCGTGTGAGCAATGATTCCATCAATTCCCTGACAAGGGTTTGATATTTAGGACCTGAGCAAGAGCTCAACAAGATCATCCAAAGAATTACCTAGTTCTTTTTACTTCCTGAATTTTTCTGGAAAAATAGTATTCTGGAAAAAAAAATAGTTTTCTGATAAATAGTCAGTAGCTACTTGCTTTAAAAAAAATTTAGACAAACAGAAACTTAAATTTCTATAAAAGAAAACAAGTGTAGACATAGAAAAATATGAGGCTAGTAGAATTATAAGACATACTTTATGGATAATTATTTCAAATTTTATTCAAAGCCATCTCATATATAAATGATGCATCTGTGGAACATGAATATAAAGGAATACATTTGTTTCCGTATAGTCTTTGATTACCAAATCAGTTTTGTCATTAACATTTTTGGACCATAACAACATTCTATAATAAAATTTAATTAACTAGTGGGCTGTTATATGTTTGTGATATCACTACTGTAATTATGGTTAAGGTTATAGGCTACTATAACTATTCGTTATTGTATGACACCTCCCACATTCTACGGCCTACTAATGGTACTGATGGACTATGGTCGGTGATTTTGTTTTGACATTTTAGTTGTGGTTGTGAATTCGAGAGAAATTTGAAGGAAAGTATTTGTTTAAATTTCTGGATCTGTCGAAATATAGTTTACTTGGATCTGATAAAACCCAAGTTGGAGTTTTGCATGGTCTTATAGGTTGGAACCCATTTACTAATGAAAGAATCGGGAGAGCAATTCATGTAGTAATTTAACAATGAAGTCCACATTGTGCATAATTCCTTCAAAATATTACATAGCAGTCATTGGTTATTTGAAGCTATAATTCAAGATATTGAATGAAAAGTAACGGTCATTTGATTTTAAAGCTCAATTTCTATAGGATGCTCTATGTTGTAATTGTTTATTTGCCTGTTAATTTCATATGAGCCGTCGTGGTTGGCATCTATTTATTATATTCATTTAAGTACTTTAATATACATGATTCATGTAAATATCAATTGTGAGGTATAAACTTTCTTCAAGGTTTTCGACTATTAGTCCACCATTAGATTTCTTACAATACAAACTGTTTTATTCATCTCATTAAATTTAAGTAGCCTATGCGTCTAATATTATTTCAAAATTAGTGGGGGCCTAATAGTTATTTGCTGATTGAAATTTCAGATATTAAATCTCAGATCAATAGGTGATTATCCTTAGTTTTACTGTGAATGTAGAACACCATCGCTTTTACTACAGATATTATGCTTGAAATTATTGGGCACAAACTTCATTGCATGAGCATATATACATGTGATAACTAAATCACATTAGTTAGAGGGATCTTATGCAGTTTGTGATCATTTAAAAAAAAAAACAGCTATATATTTAGCATTTTAGTTTTATATATATCTAGTACGTGATTGGTCATTGGTGATATTTGACACTGAAATGGTATCTTGAGTTAACGTTATTGAGTCATTCCTATAAGGAGCTTCTCATAGGTATGGATTTTAATACTTGCAACACAATTATTTTTGGTGCGAATGATTGGGCTGTAATGGGGATGTTGGTATAGGATTTACTATTTCCAAACTCGTCAAAATATTTTGACAATAATAGAGACATTAATCCAATTAAAGTTTATACCATTATAAAGATTTAGATGCCATATGGATTAATCCAAGAATGTCAAAATGCATGATAAACTTCGGAAAGAGACATATGGTTTTGTTAATAATGTGATGTCTTTATACAATTAGCTTCAGTGTCAAGGTTTATTTCTTATTGATGCTTTAATATTTTATGTAACCTTTGGAGATAGTTTGGATTTACGTTTTAATGTTTTATGAGAAAGACTGTACATAAGAATTGTTCCAAGACTAAGTTCATTTTATTTTTAGAAGCATTCCTTGAATTCAATTTGTTCAATATGTGATGTAAGCCAACCGTGGGGCCAAGAAATTCTTGCAATGTGGGGGCTGATGCAAATGCTAATTTTATGAAGCACGAATCAATTAGGCAAGAGAATTCTTGGAAATGTGGGGGTTAAATTTTAAGGTAATAAAATATATATGAAGTACCTGCTGAATTTGCTTAATGTTGTTATAAGAGTTTCATATGTGTGTGGGGGACTTTCATATCTAAGGGTTTTTCAAACAAATGCATTTTAATGTGTTGTTCGTGAGTGTTATTTGAAAGATAGGTCAAATCAATATCAATGAGAAGATATGAAGGTGTGCACACCCAGCGAGACATGAACATGTGAAGAGTAATCATTCTAATATTTATGAAAACTCAACTAAATAGAGCTGACAAATGAATTAAAAAGCTTTCGAGGAAAACTGTGAGACACAAATATATATAAAGGCTGATTAATTTGATCAATGAGCTTTCGTGAAAAGCCTTGCTTTTGAAAAAAGCTATCTCAAGAACTGTCGAGGGGATAGGTTTAAGCCCGCAAGGGAGTCACCTAGGAAAGTAACTCAACTTCTGTGATTGGAGACCCCATGAAGGAAGTTCAATGGGTAGAAACAATTCATATTGCGTGACTCATTAGCACCATTGATGAGAAAATATCCTAAGATGAGATATTTTTATGTTCATCCCTATGGCAGAAGTGCATATGTAGTGTGACGGTAAAGAAGGATTATGTCCTGAATAAGATCGAGACAGAAACACTCCTGCAGGGTATTGTGCACATGTATCCTTGGAGGGCTCACCTAAGTGAGAGTAGTCGTGAGGCCGCGACTATGAGAATTGTGCTATTTTCTATAAACTCTCATGAGAATCAAGATTAAGTGCATGGTCATTAATAGCACTGACCTGCGAATCCTGACCAATATCTGTACTCTGTGTGTGTGTGATAGTTGAACTCTGGCTCAAAGGGGCTAGTTCAAGCCTTTCGTCACTATAATCCTTCAGGGGGAGATTATTAACACTAAGTGAGGTTCAAGTTCGAAAGACACTTACACTCATTGCACAGTATAATAGTTGCCCATATTTTCTATCTATTATATAAATATATTTGGGCCATTTCGAAGTTTTCAAAACTTATGAAAAATTGTTAGAATAAATTAGAATAAAAGTTTTAAAACTACATAACTAATTATTTTGTTTTAATTTTTCAGTTTTAAACTTTACCATTGCAATTTAATTCTTGCGTGTTCATGTCATTTAATTATAAAATTGATATAAACTTAATAGCTTGGAAGTTACATACTAATATATTTTAAAATCTATTATTCAAGAGTAATTAAGACGGTGCCTACAAAATAAGTGGTGGTTTTGGATAGAAGAAGAGTAGATATACTATTTTTTCTATATACTCCTCTTTCATCAAGTGTTGCTATTATTTCTACATATTTCTTTTTTGTCTATTATTAAATTTTCATATCTACAAATATTTGGTATTAGTTTACTTCGGGCAACTTCAATTCGAGTTAGGTTCACCACTTTTTTCCAGTGGGCGTGACTATTGAGGATGTGCTACTGCGAGCGTTGAGTTTGATCTTGAAGTCGTTGGTGTCCGTCAGTACCCTCACGTGGGGAGGCTTAGTTGTTTTAGGACAGTGTTCACACGACTCTCAGACTCGCAGGTCAACTCTTTCTAATTTATAGTATCTATTTTATTTCATTTTAAGTTCATTGTTATTTTGTGTTTGTTTATGTGATATTGATATGAATTTATTAATTAAAATTATGTATAATTATGCTGATTTACCCAACAGCAACTATGGAATGGCAGCTCTGCAGAAAAACTGGAGAAGAGCATGAGTCAAGAAGATCAACCATAAGGTACCAAGATGCCTTCATTGTTGCAACCCAAAAATCACAACGTACTTCTCTAATAGCATTATCACGTTTCAGGGGGTCTCTATCCAACTACAGCCAGGAAATTTTCTCAACCTCCTTTTCTTCATCATGTTTTTCACCCTCACAACATTTCTCCAACTACCAGCATCAGCATATAAACTTGACATCAACAAACTGCTTCCAGCACTCTCAGGCTCAAGCTTAGACAGTTGCCTAGTTGCTATTTCTGCAAGGTCAATATTGCCATGATGCCTGCATGCCCCTAATAATGCTCCCCATACAAATAAGTCAGGCTCCATCGGCATCGCTTGAATCAAATCATATGCCTCAACAAGTTTGTTTGCTTTACCAAGAAGATCCACCATGCACGCATAATGCTCTAATCTTGGTTTGATCCCATAGTTTTCCTGCATCAAGTGGAACAAATTCTGTCCAAGTTCGATCTTCCCAGCATGGCTACAAGCAGTGAGAGCCGCAGTGAAAGTCAAGTGGTCCAATTTCTTTTCCTCTTTTGTTACCATTTGATTAAAAAGTTCAATCGCCTCATTGCAGTATCCATGATTTGCATATCCAAATATCATGGAGTTCCAAGTAACCGTGTTCTTCTCAGACATCTTCTGAAACAGTGTCTTTGCTTCGTATAGATAACCACATTTTGCATACATGTCAATAAGAGCACTCCTTACAAAAATATCCTCCTCGACTCCAATCGCCATTGCATAGCCATGAACCTCCTTCCCATGCTTCAATTCTGCTACACTTGCACAAGCTGGCAAAAGACTACTAATTGTTGCTGAACTTGGATACAATCCATGATCCAGCATTTCTTTAAACGTACGAAAAGCTTCATCACCATGGAAGTTCTGAACATACCCAGATATAACAGAAGTCCATGATACCACATCAGGTTCAACTCCATCAATGCGCATCAATTTGACAATTTCAGAAACCATCACTTCGTCACCTGCTTGCGAAAAACCTGCGATTAATGTATTCCATGTCACTACATTAGGCTTCACTCCGATTAATCGCATTTTCACAACCAGACCCAATGCTGTTTTGACAAACTCATGTTGAACATACCCTGCAACCATGGCATTCAGTGCCACCAAATCTTTTTCAACCATCCCATCAAAAACCCTCCTGGCCTTCTCAATTTGCCTGCATTTTGAGTACATATCTATTAACGCGCTAATGATAAAAGCATCTGATTCAAATTCATATTTCAGAACAACAGTATGTATCTTCTCTCCAGTTTGCAAATCAGAGAGGTGTGCACAGGCTTTGAGAACACTGGGAAGAACAAACTGTTGGGTTTTAAACCTTCTTGTTGCATTTCACAGAAAACAGTCATTGCCTCCTCATGAAGGCCATTTCTGGCATAGACCCCGATCAGTACGATCCAACGGCGGATATTTGTTTGGGAATTTTGTCGAACAGTTTTCGAGCATCAAACAACCGCCTACACCCGGTGTAGAAAGCTATGAGCTTGGAGGCAAAATGGGTCAAACGAGCTAATCCACTGATGATCAGGTGCGCATGTAGGACTCTGCCTGATTGTAAGGCTCGATCACGAGCATACGATTCTATGAGTTGTGTGTAAGCATCGGATGATGATTGAAAAGAACGGTACTTGATGAGGACTCCATTCTGGGTTCTAGATATATTTGTCCGAATGAGAAAGGATCTCATGGCAAAAACGTGCCAACAAAAAACATACAACATTTCAATAGGAGAGTCTATCGATACATGTATGAATTATGAACCTACCTACCCATGTAAATGTATAGGCATATATTAAAAATTGAAGTAACATTTTACGATGGGTCCATCTATATGACAAAAGCGAGAATCCAAGAACGGGAGTGTTTGTCTTGCATCTCATTGCTGGGTCGATGTTAAAAAATTAGGAGTGTATCTTAACATTTTTTATTGATTGTTGGATTTTTTTTTTGGTGCAAAAACCGTTTATGAAAATTTGGGCTAATGGGAAAAAATGTTAATATACATCCAACTAATAGGATTCAAACTCGAATTAGATTTGGATTACAATTCAATCGACTGAACAGTGGAGAAGATCCTTATTTCACATTTAATAAGGAAGTTCTTTGTCTAATCTGGTTCACTTTCAATTCAAAGCTCTCTCTGGTGAGACCCATATTTATTTGGCTTATGAGAGCCAAATGACTCTACATTATGTTAGCATTTTACTAAATAACTAGCATGAGCTCATCTAAAGCAAGTATTCTGTCTATGGAGCAACCCATTACATTAATATCACCAAAATCCCCACAAGAACATCTCCCTGCTGGAAGTGATGAAACCTGTAGTTATCCCTCAGAATTATGTCTCGTTTTGTAATTTTTGATATATGTTCATTGTCGAATGACAATCCACGCACACTTGAAGATTCTTGAATACTTGAATTGGAATTCCATCTGGTAGGCTTATAAGGCCGAAGCAAACTGCCAGTTTTTCGCTGTGGTATAAAATCTTTCCTTCATTGAATGCAGGTGTTGAGTTGGAAGCATACTTGACATCTCTAATCTGTCTCATCAATTGCTTCAATTTCTCATACCCTTTGGCATTTCAGTGTGTTTTCTGTCGCCCGAAGAATTTGTATGTTCTGTTCTTAACTCAATCCAGCTGCATCCCGGTTCCTTGTAACCTCCTCCAGCTCCATTAACTC